GATGCGTTGTCATAAAATTAAGACTGTGGATATCTCTCTGATGTTGTGCGAAGCTATTAGACGTATATATCACAATGAGTCTATGGGTCAACTTTTCAGAGATATCACTTTGGATGATTAGTGCATAGTATCTGTCATTCCTACTGTTTTTTCACGCTAATGTAGTGTTTTCAATTCTATATAAAGTTCGTGTTCCGTTTGGTCTTCTTCACCAACAATCAAACATCTCCTGATTTATCTGCTACTTCCACAATCTTTTACTTACCCATCTCAGTTTCTGATGCTCTTTCTGATGTTGAGGTGTTCATGGTGAGACTTCAGATGTATGAGCAAAAACAGTAGATGTGCTTAATGCATTTTTATGGTAAGTTTGAACGCACGACCACCATCATTTTTAGGTAGTTTTTTAAACCCAGTACTTAGCTGATATAGAAATGTTTAATCGTATCGTTGCGAGTATCTTATTTTTGGTGATGATGAACTAAAGATGATTAGAAATTACAGCTCAAAATCCAGTTGCACTCACAGTTAAGGTGTAATGAATATGAAGAAACAACTATCTATTTTTTATATAAATCGTTCGTTTGCAACTGGTTTGTTTTAGCGTCACATCAGCTTGATCGACGATGTTATCGAAAAACTAATAAAAAGTTTTTCTGTCATTCATCAATTCGTGCTTGCCACTTGACATTCGATGTTGTCAATGAACTTGAACTCTCCTCGTTTGCCTTTATACTCAATGATTGTTTTTTAATTTTGAAATTTACTTCTAGGATGTATCTCAAGTTCTTCAGCATTACTATACTGTTCGCCATATTCGCAGGTAAATCATAGAAAATACAACCTCTACACAGTTTTACCTGAGAACTACATAACGACAACTCGTTTTAGAACTACACTGCATAACATTGCTACAATCATATAGATCGCCAGCAGCTGCCATAAGAAGACAAGGTCAATCCAATACAAGATTCCGTCCTGTATTGTTTTTGCGAGGTGACGACGATTGGGTAAGTGAAGAGCAGGCCATGAAGTCTTTTTTTATATCATAGTCGATTACTATTTTAGCTCCTGTTTTTTCGCTTTCCTTGTTAGCTCCATGTTGCACTTGCAACTTTTGTCAGTGTTCTTGTTCTTTTTTTTCAAACGTTATAAGTAGACTGTCTTTCAAGAAATCATATCAAAATGAAATGAGATGAAAATATCTGAGATGATAAGGGAGAGAAAGAAAAATTGGAAAAGACGAAATGAGAAACTTTTGAGGAGAAACTGGAGGCCATGAAAACAAAAGAGAAAAAAGAGACTCAAGAAGAGAAAAAAACAGTGAAATACTGAAACCGTAAGAGAGAATCAGACTATAAGTCAGCCCAACTTTATTAATTTGCAGAAACTGATCATGAAACCAATGAAAACGTAGAGCTTAAGAAAGAAAAACAAGAATTTGGGAGACCGGAAACAGTGAGAAAGAAAGGATGAGCGAAAAACGTCAAAATAACCTGAGATAGAGAACAAGTTTTGAAGCCTCGAGAAATTTTGTAAATTGGTTCTTATGAATAGTTAACAAATATCTGATTGCTCATTATCGAATTCTATATTTCAGAGGAAACAGTTGGGCCAAGAAACCCTGACTGATCAAGTGATGGATGAGAATGGTATTTTCTACAATGTTCGTCCGCAACCAAAAGACATAACTAATGCATTCTCCTCTAATCCTAATCGTGTCGGTTAAAATTGATTGATAACTTCCTATTTGGTACTATTGACCTTTGAGTAGACATAAAACATCGTATTTACTCTTATCATATCATTTGTTATCATCAAAACAATTTAGACTTTTCATGATTTTGCTTTGAAATTGTATTGATCTTTAGATAAGATTTGCTTTGTAACACATTGATCGAATGTTGTAAAATTTCATTCATTTGCACAGTCTTCGACGTAGTTACTATTTCTCCCCTAAAATTTTTCAAAAAAGTTTCACGTATGTTTCGTTCAACAGAATAATATTTTCACAAAACCATGATTGAGTGATGCAGATCACAGTTACTCATGCGTAGAAAAGAAAATTTCGAAGCAGTTCGGAAGAATTGATTTTTTTTAATTCAAAAAACATGTTCTGGTCTTGGCGCGACGGAAGCGCGCTCCAATGCCAAAGTTGAAAACATTACTGCGTACGTCGTTGAGTTAAATATTTCACGAGTCATTCGTATAATATTTTTTTTATTTCTCTTCTTTATATGGATTGTTATAGCTTGAGAATGGTGAACAGCTATAAAACAGATGAAAGCAGTGGGTTGGTTCTTCTTTCAGGTAACTCTCATCCTGACTTATCAAGATTAGTATCTGAGTAAGTTTCAAATCATTTCATATTGATTTTTCTCTCTGTTCCAGAAGATTGGGTATTCGATTGGGTGATGCTACTGTATACAATAAAACAAACAGAGGTATAATTCTAATATATATAATTCATTTCATATAAGAGTTCAGAAACCTCAGTTGATATCAAACAGTCTGTTCGTGGAAAACATGTCTTCATTCTACAAAGTGGTTCAAAGTTAGTTAATAATGATTACACTCTTTTATGTATTGTTTAGAAATGTTAATAATGACATAATGGAACTTCTTATTCTCATCTATGCTTGTAAGACATCGATGGCTAGTAACATAACTGTTATTATGCCTTATTTGCCTTATTCCAAACAGTGTAGAATGTTCAGAAGATCTTCAATCCCAATGAAACTGGTTGCAGAAATGATTGGTAAAGCAGGTTTGTAATTCACAACTA